AACCGCATTCATGCACCGTCTGTTTCAACCGTAGAGCGAGTCACAATAGTCTGATATATAAGCATGAAGAACAAACAAACACGGCCGGCTTCAAGTTGTGTTCCCTGGATGAGCTGACCAGGCAGAGTGCCTGTAGCTTCACGGAGCAGCTAGCAGAGAGACAAGAAGCTAGCAGCAGCAGTCACTTCACAGAGCCGTCACTCAATGTGACCACGCCCTAATTTATGCAAAAACGTTAAGAACTAATATAAATAAAAGGGTCGTGTTAGAAAACAATTCACTCACAGATCCATAATCATGAAGGTGGAATCGAACTATATTCATAATAATATTTATTGCATACATGGGGAGAAACATGTTTTTTTCTGCTGTAAAGTTGGGCATTTTAACATGGGGGTGGAAATTGCTCCTTTCTGCAGTCAGCCCCTATCGGCCAATATATGAACTGCAGTGTGTGGCACTTCCGTATTGGCGTCCCGGCTCTACCCCACAGTTTGCCGCTTGGTTATATAGATACATTTTCATAACAAAACAATGGGGTTGCTAAGCCGTTGCTAGGCCAATTGTTGGAGTTGCTATAGTAGCGCCGCCCCTGGTTATGAGTGAGTTTCTGTGCACACGCCTTTAGCATTTTTTCGCTCGTGGCTAATTCAGAGGCTCAGCGTTAGCTAACTCCTTTTTTTTTTTTGCAAAAAAACCCACAAAGCTGAGTTTCTTCCCGTTACATGGATATGAAACATTCATAGTTTATTCAATTTTAAGAAGCCCTCAGACGCTGTTGCTTGCAGATGTTGTGGTTTCGGCCCCTTCGGCGGGCCCGTGGGGCTAAAGGGGTAAAGCAAGCAATGATATTTTCAAATCTGTAATCAAAAACGCTATCGAAGCAGTTCCATTTGTTACGTAGTTCAAACAGTAACAACGGACTATGCCTAACCCTTAACCTAACCCTAACCCTTAACCTAACCCTAAACCTAACCAAGTCTTCACCCTAAAATTAATGATTCCCCTCATGGGGACATCCATTTTGCCCCCATTAGGGAGGAGAGTCCCCACACGTGACTGTGTAAACAGATTTAGGTCCCCACAAGTATAGTAATGCTAGGCCACACACACACACACACACACACACACGCACATGAAGAACTCCCAGCGAATCTCGGTAAAGAAATATGTATTAATTTGTTTGCTAGCTCAAAGAGTCTTATTGTTAAGCCGGAAATGTTCAGTACCTCAAAGTTTAATGGCAGGTTAAACCAGAAAGTGTCTATATTTGTACCTCCGGGTGGGCTGATTTTGATGAACTTGGGGTAGATTTTGAAGTTTTAGGGGACTGAAAACGGCCATTTTTCCTCAAAGAAAATTCAGAAATGGATTTAGCATCCCCAAAAGATTATGGTTAGCTATTGTCTGCACGTGCTAATGAATGCATCACATGTTTCAGACTTCACACACATCCCTCTAACTCAACAAGACTCAACCACGGCTGAGGTGGAAACTGCAGAACTCTTCTCACAGACTGTTAAATTGTAAACTCAATTTGTTGTTCATGAGCAGAGTCGGTGAAGATGAAAGCAGGGTTAAAGTGAATCAGACGGACACAGAGCAGCCTCTCTTCGGACTCCTGCTTCAACTTCCTCACATAATCACATCTAACGCTGTGAAGTGAGTGTGGGAACCAGCAGAGCCTGAAGCCACTCTGTAGAAATACCCCGCTGTAGGGGAAGTCCTGCAGAAAGCACTGGGTTCAAGAAGGTAAAAGTATGTTGTTGTTTTTGGGAGTGGGGAAAGTTTTTTGAAAAGTATTATTACGGAGAGCAAAAGAACAACAACTCCTCCTGGTATTAGTATAGATGCTACAGAAGAGGATTAGGGCAACATGAGAAATACATTTGGAGATGTGACAAAAAGGCAGGATTCTGAAAAAAAGTTTAGATGAAATAAACTTTTTTTTTTAAGTTGAATTTTCAATTTTCCCAAATTGTGACTTTTTCTCAGTCTGGACTTTTATCAGAATTCTGACTCTTCAGGCTGTCAGACTCAACCTCAGTGTCTATTTTGTATTGACTGTTTCCTCAGAATTGTGTTTTTTCCCCTCTAAATTCTGAGATAAAAGTCAGAACTCATGATTTCCCCCCCCCCCTTTTGTCACATCTCAATATCTCACGATAGACGATCTTTGTGTTTCTCCTTCTCCCTGAGAGTGAGCCCTCTCGCTAACAGACTATCCTCTCCTCTGCTAACCCTCTCAACGGCCGGTGTCTCCATGGATGAATTATAGGATATTTTAGGGGTGTTTTCAGCTTCTCTCCGCCGCAGATTCTCGCCCAACACTCGGATGTTTCTCCCCATGTTTCCCTCCTGATGAGCGGCCCGGAGGCTGTGATCCCAGCGGCTCCCGGAGGATGGAGGGGCTGAGCGGGGCCCGGCTCCTCGGCCCGGTGCTCCTCCTCTCCTCCCTGGCGGCTCTGGTGAGCTGCCACCCCGGGACCTGCAGGCACCAAGCCCCGCCGCCCGAGGAGGTGAGACCCGGTGTAGCTGCCATGCTAACATAAGTAGCTGCAACACAATAGAAACTTACGGGAGGAGCTAACTACCACGCTAGCTGCACTAGTGGCTAACGGATTTGTTTATATTGTGTGAAAAGAAAGCTACTTTAATGTATCCCTGCTGTCTGACAACCACTCGAGCCTAACCTTATAATGATTATGATTACATTACTTACATTTTATACCATTTATTCATTTGTTTTTGTGTTATAAATTCAGTTATCTACCGGTTAAATTAGATTTTTTTGTACAGATAGCTACCATGCTACATAAGTAGCTGCAACACTATGGAAGCGGAAGGGATAAGCTAACTAGCATGCTAGCTGCAGTAGTAGCTAACAGATTTGTTTATATTGTTTGACAAGAAAGCTACTTTAACGCGTCCCTGCTGTGTGACAACCACTCGAGCCTAACCTTATAATGATCATGATTAAACCACTTCCATTTTATACAATTTATGTGTTTGTTTGAGTGTTATAATTTCCGTTATCTACCGGTTAAATTAGATTTTCGGTGGGTACAGTTAGCTACCATGCTAACAGAAGAAGCTGCAACACAATGGAAGAGGAGGCGATAAGCTAACTAGCATGCTAGGTGTAGTAGTGGCTAACTATGGGATTTGTTTATATTACATAGCATTTAGCAGACGCTTTTATCCAAAACGAGGTTCAATAAGTGCAATAAACCATAAAGATTCAAACTAAGAAGAACAAGAACAGTGTAGATATAATCTCTACAAACAAGATCGTTATTAGTGTTGAACTAATAGTGTTTATATTGTATGACAAGAAAACTACTTAATAATAATACATTTTATTGAGACGCTGAAACAGTGATAGGAACACTTTATTCTGTCCCTGTTGTTTGACAGCCACAAGGGCCAGACCTGATATGTATTAGGATTAAATTAAACATTTTACATCTTTGTTTTTGTGTTTATAAATGCAGTTATCTGTCGGTGAAATTATATTTGCTGCACAGTTAGCTTACATGCTAACAGGCTAAGCCCACTCTCATTTTTACATTTGAACAGAACTTGAATCTTAAATGTAAAATAAGTAGCTTAAAAGTCCATATAAATGCCATGTTTTGTAGCTGCTTTACTTTCCTATTTATTCTGAGTTTAATGACGACACCAACAGTATTTGTGGGGAACATTTAAACTGTAACACCAGGAGTGAATCTATAGAAACACTCTGATTGATTTCTATGGCCTCGACATTTATTCTGTCCTCTTTAAGCCAGTTTACCATAGCAACCCCATAGCAACAAGAACATTAATACTTCCTAAAAATTAAATAAAATTAGAGTTTTTTTCTTAAAATGTTCCTTTTTTTTAAATTATGTTTCGTTAAACTATTTGTATAACATTCTTTGTATTATATTTAATTCCATGTATGTTTATATGAATGTGTATTGTATCTCCTAACACCAGGTGGTCCATCAGGTTCACCTGAAGCCTGAGCGGCTGACGAAGAGGAGCTCACCTGAAGACCTCCAGCTGCAGATTGAGATCATCTACGACCACAGCGTGGACCAGTGAGTCCTGCAGCAGCACACTCTGCAGTCTTTACATTTCATCACGTTTCCTTTCAATATTTGTATTTTATTTAATTAATTTTGTATCTTATATTTATAAAATGTTTTTTATCTTCACAATCTACTGTATATTCTCTACTTGTTAACGCTGCTTTAATTCTATTGGAGATGTTTAATTTCTAGTATTGTTTATTCCTACTCTTTAGTTTCTACTTATGTGCAATGCCTTGTTTTGTTGTTTTTCATGCTGCTGCAACGCAAACATGTCCCAATTTGGTATCAATAAAGTACCTCTAACCTTATCTAAGGCCCCGTCCACACAGAGACGATATCAATTGTATTCGCTAACTAGACCCTCCAGAAAAACGCGATTCTGTGATCGCAGAATTTACCGCATAATCAGCAAAATGGCGCAGATTTTTAAAAGGCCGCATAATCCCCGCATTTTTCCACACAAAGTTGAGAAAAAAAATAACAAAGTTAACTCGTCTTGACGAGTAGTGATGATGACGCAACGTCATCAGCCCGCGCATCACAGAAGGCAAACACCGTCGTGTGAAGGTGTGGAATTCACACACCAAGATGAACAAATCGAATCCATCACATTTACCCACGAACATTTCAGCTAAAGACCGGGCAAAGCAGTACCCCAATGTCTTGCACGAAACTGTTCTGCACCCCGTGCAACTGTGTGTTGGAGCATAAAAGGAAATCGACTGTGAAGACCCACTTCGATTCGCTCAAACATTCAAAAATGCTTTCTGCTGCGGACAAGAAAGCCAAACAACTCACGTTTACTGAGGTGTGTGTGTGTGTGTGTGTGTGTGTGTGTGTGATAAATAAACATTGAATGTGTCTCATTGAATAGTAAAGGGGTTTAACTTTTATTTGTTCTGTCTTTGTATACATGTTTGTATAGGTATGT